ATCCTATTGAAACATGTTTTCAGCTATAAACGTTGCATAAAAACCACCTTTATTAATATTATTATTTTATATAAAGATTTTAAAATGAGGCTTTGTTTGTTTTATTGTTAAGCACAAATGTACACGATGGGCTACCTGTGCCTACCACGGGTATCGAAACCAGGATTTTAGTAATGTAGGCCTACAGATTTACCACTGAGCTACTGGAGTCGAGTGAAAAACAAATATGGCTGCTGAAAAGAAATTCTTGAAATCCTAAACTTAAAGAATAAACTAAGATTGTAATTTCGCCATTAACAAGTTGAAACAGATCTTCTGAAAGAAAAAAAAATTCCTCCCTATTAAATTCTGTTTAATAAGAATATGTTCGAATACTTAAATATTTAAAATTTATATTTTTAAAATTTTTCCAAATATCTATCCGTTACAAATTCTGAAAGTTTGAAAAAAGAAATATCGACCTATTTAATATAAAGATTTTTAATTAATTACTCTTCAAAAAAAAAAACCCTTCTAATACTAAATCTGGTAACTGGTTTGGTTGGGTTTACAGAACGGGGTGAATTTAAAGTAATATATATAATTCTGTCGTCGCGTGTTTTCTAAGCCTGTCGACCTATTCACAAATTCGATAGCGTTTCTCACGGGTTAATTGAAACTGTATATTGCGACACTAAAAGAGTACTGGTACTGTTTCCTCATGCTCAACGTTTGACCTCTTTTTGCTGCTGAGGTCATTTGTTAATTAGGAGTCTCATAAAAAAACAACAACACCTAGTGTTGACTTTTGGAACTAAACTGACAACGAACCGATTCCGATAGCCGAATGGGGGCACCACCTATTAAGAGAACACGAAACTTCGTTTTAGCCTAATATTATACAATAACAAAGATAGGTTTGAGATATATTTATTCTAATCGCGAGACTTTCCTTATAGTCGCCCTACAACTTACGATTAAAATAGAATTTCATGAAAACTACCGTTAACGATGCGTAAGCCATTTTTCGTTCTTCCACATTAGGTAACATACGATTGTCATTTTTCTAAAATATCCATTGCTTCTAGATTTATACAATGGTGGGTAGTCTTATTTTATTTGTTCTTTACATGTAGATGGCGACAGTAGTGGTACACTTTCGCAGATAGCCCTCGTGTGGCTTTGCTCGAAAATTCAAAACAAACACAGAAACCAGCTATACACGCGCGACTTTGTCGATATGTCGCTGTAGGCTTACCACTGATCCATCAAGGATGTGTTTGTTTTAGAGCAAAGCCGCGAGGAATTGAACCGCTGATTGCAAGTTAGCTGTCTCACGAAACAACCAACTAAAATAAGTAAAATTTAATGACAATCCGAATTCAAACACACTTGTTTCTCGCGCTGTCGAGAACTGTTTAGATGTGGTTAATTTATAGCCGACTTTAAATTTCAGAGCACAAATCAAACCATGACTTTGTTTCATCCTTGAAATATAACGACACTTGTTAAGGCCATCAGTTTGATCTTGTACAAATAAGAAATAATTCAGACTCCATGTTGTTTTTTCGTTAGTGGTTTGAATTATTGGAGGCAGTCCAACTGTAGAGACGGAAAAGTACACGTGATAAATTAACTACTAATCCATCTTACACATTTATTCATCCGAAATAAAAAATAGACATTTTTCATTAAGCCTAACGTTTCGGTTAGCAACAGTTGACAAACAAAAATATGAGAATAAGTTGAATGGCAACTGTCTGTTATAGAAACACAAATGTAGAGAACGACGTTTCCAGAGACTTCCGCCACTTTCCGTCCATTCAACTATTGTTTGTTTTGAATTTCGCGCAAAGCTACACGAGGGCAATCTGCTCTAGCCGTCCCTAATTTAGCAGTGTAAGACTAGAGGGAAGGTAGCTAGTCATCACCACCCACCGACAATTATTTTACCAACGAATAGTGGGATTGACCGTCACATTATAACACCCACACGGCTGAAAGCGTGAGCATGTTTGGTGTGACGGGGGATTCGAACCCACGACCCTCAGATTGCGAGTCGAGTGACCTAACCACCTGGCCATATATTCTGCCTACATAATCTATCAAATAAAACAAAAAAAATATTTTTTTTGT